GTGTGTGAGTGTGTGTGTATGTATGTGTGTGTGTGTGTGTGTGTGTGTGTGTGTGTGTGTGAGTGTGTGTGAGTGTGTGTGTGTGTGTGTGTGTGTGTGTGTCTGTGTGTGTGTGTGTGTGTGTGAGTGTGTGTGTATGTATGTGTGTGTGTGTGTGTGTGTGTGTGTGTGTGTGTGTGTGTATGTGTGTGTGTGTGTGTGTGTGTGTGTGTGTGTGTGTGTGTGTGTGTGTGTGTGTGTGTGTGTGTGTGAGTGTGTGTGTGTGTGTGTGTGTGTGTGTGTGTGTGTATGTATGTGTGTGTGTGTGTGTGTGTGTGTGTGTGTGTGTGTTTTGTACTTAATAGCCAAAGTTTCCCAACAAATCAAATGTTTTAAATACAATTTTTTTTAAAAGTTATCGCAAATGGAATGATAGAACTTTTCGTTACAGTTTCGTAATGACAAGTTCATTAGATAGTTTTAAATCGTGTTCAACCTTAGAAACCTGACCTAACCTAAATTTGCCGATTATTTCTCAGAACGGCCTAGCAGTGCTAGAACTAGGATTATGTTGCAAATTTATGTAGACAATGTAATGTTATTATTAGACGTGAACTAATTTTGAAAGATATTTTTTTAAATATTAAAAAATCCCTCTGACAGTAAGAGAAGAGAGCTTCTCAGTTTTTTTGGTATATTTTAAGTTCAAGAAGATCAGATTTACGAGAGCTTGACGTAACTATTTTTACTGTCTCATTATGGTAGGTAAATAATCTCTCAGGCGGGATTATTTATGGTGAAGACTAAATGAATTATTGAGATAGATGCTAAGGAGCCCCTATTTCCTGTTATTAAAGTCGAATTTAAATACAGAATCAGATCAGAGGTGACAGCCATGGTAGCTAGGCTCCTGTAACACATCAAAAGACTTCATATTAGTTCCACTGAGAACAACTCTGACATTCCACACCATGGACTGATTCGGTGACTGTCACACTCAATCACAAAGTAGCATTGAACGAAGGGAAAAAGGAAGAAGCCATTTCAACAACGTTACTTCGAATTTCTAGAACTCGAGCGGAGCCTTCCTCTCCCTTCCCCAAGTCCTTCGTCCGTGGAGGTGCTTCCAGAGGAGAGGCCTCCTCTTCCCGTTCCTCTTCTTCTTCTCCCTCTTCCTCTCTCCGGGAAGCCACCACGTCCTCTAGGTCCTCCGCGTCACTAGATCTCCAAGAGCCGGCCTCTTCGTCATTCTTCTCTTCCGCAAGGTCTCTTGTTGGTCTCCTTGGTCAGGTCACTCTCTGGATGTGAACTGTGCTCTTGCTTGTCTTATCTCACTCACTTTTAGAAAGTCCACTCCTCCATTCAAGGCTTTCTTTCTGGGCATTTAAACTTTTTTTTGTAATAATTTTGTGTAATGAGTCCAGGAATGTTGTTTCCTACAATTCATATCTAAGAGAGTGTTGGCCTTCTTTTATCCCTATTTTGAGATTTTAATTAGCATTTGTGTTTCAAGTCAGGCTGGCCAGTTATCTCAATAGGTAGTTACCCGCATGCTGATGTGTGTGTGTTGAATTGTTGAGGAGTTGCAGGAGTCCCAGCCTGCAATTGCATGGCGACCCTCTCTTGTGAATTGGTTACTTATAAGCACGACAAAAAAGCGCAAGATTACCACTTAATACATAAATCTAATCTTCTAATAATTGCTAATGATTTTAATATATTTTCAAGCACGCTAATAATAATAAAAAAAAGAGTTTAGGCCTGAACTCAATTTGGCATGCTAAGTGCACGCTGTTTGATTTAATTATATGTTACTCATTCATTAACTGAATAGCGAATGAGAATTAAACATAAATCTTAAAATAACTCAGTTGTATAAGACAGACAGTGTAGGCAATAGAGTCCTGATGGTGATGTTGTTGTTACAGGAACGCTAAAACCCAGGCCTTCGAATTTTCCGACTTTGACTTTGATTCTGCAAGCCCCATCTCGTCCTTTTCCTTCTCCGGAGTTACTGATCCTGAACCAACTACTCCCGAGCCTGTCCGATTCCCACCCACCTTCCCACCTGCTCCCCTAAGACAGCATCAACAATCTCACAACAATGGTCGTGCTGGAGCAGGATTACAATCAGCCCAACGATCTCATTCCTCCTCATCCTCACGTTCTCATTCCTCTGCATTTTCCCAATCCCAGACCTCTGCAGTTTCCCAATCCCAGCCCTCTGCCTTTTCCCAATCTCAGCCCTCTGCCATTCCCCAGGGTTCACTTTCTCCCCACTTTGCGAGAATCCCAGCTATTGGGAGTACCAAGAAGATTCAAACTCAGAGCCAAGAAGGCTCGTTCACCCAGTCAGCATCCCAGGCACTGAGAGCTCTGTCTAACATCGCCACTGACTTCCCCGAGACCTTCCCTGGCCTCCAAAATGAGACCCCTACAAGGGATTCTCCCTCACCCTCTCCTTCCCGTAACTCTAACGCCAGATCCTCCCAAATATCCCAAACCGTCCCAACCTCTTCTTCCAGTTCTGGTTCCTCTAGTTCAGCCAAGAGTCCCTCGAGGTACGTTATGAGTTAACTCTCTCTGATGCGCTGGAAGTCAGTAATCCAGACGTCTGTGACTCCAAAGCATGGTGTTTGAAGTTTTCTAGTGCATGGCGTTTTTCTTCTGCGTTCCAGTCAAACGGCAGCGGGTTAATGCTTTTATAAAACTGCTGCATTGACGAAGTCTGCGTCTCTTCCATTATCTCCTAATGTTTCATTCTTATAACGCTTAATATACCTTTTTTATAAATTTATCAATAATGTCTTTGATAAACGAACTCTTCCATATTCAACTTCCTGTCTAAATTTTCTCTTATGTTTCATCTTTAACCTTCTTAATAAATTATATTCTTTTTTTGTAAGATGCTTCAGCATTTTCTTGACATTTATCCACATATCATCCAACTTTACAATTCTCACCACAAACGAAGGTAACAAAGACTCGTTTTAGTGACTATGTGACTCTCTTGTATGTCTTAATTAATTTTGTACTCATGACTCATTTCAGAGAAAAAAAAATGGACTTGACTCATTGAGACACTGAGTAAAATCTCATACATCATTCATACCGATCTGCTGGTTCCCTTTGACGGACACAAAACAGTCCTTGACAATGCTTGAAATTTTTTTTACTAAGCAAGATATTAGACGATATATGCTGTGTTAATTGTCTGTTAAGGTTTATTTATAAGCTCCTGCATGTTAACACCTTATTGTTAATCAGCCTTTGTTCAAGAAATATGGACATTAAATTTATTATGAGAGAATATTCTCAATAATATTTTTTTTATATAAACAAATCGATATTTCTTCAACAGAGCAATTCATAATTCAGAATGCGTTTATAAGGAATCTATGGTGAACAGAACAAGGTGTGATTATATTCAAGATACATGTTATTGAAGTGGCAAATACCACACAACTGTTGTGTTATGAGCATGCTTTAGCGAGACTTTCTCAGATACAAATTTGCCATTATAACAAGGCATTCATGGTGATGGGAATACAGTGAGGAAGCTATTATCTCCTGCCATCTGTGGCACGGTTGAGCGTGAATGATACCTAATACTTTAACATTGTCTGTCCAACTTAACACCTGTTTAATTCTGGCTTAAAATGCAAGTTTCAAGGTTAATGGTTTTATGTGGCAATTGTGACATTATCAGTTTGAATGAAATTATATTCTGTAATAACTTTGTTCTATATATGAGAATAGTTGTGTTTAGATACATCTGCATTACAGTTGTTTTAAATGACTTTAAATTACTTCATAGTGAACTATGAAGTTTTTATGAAAAACATATTCTGCAAACTATAAACAAATATATCATGATGTGATTTCTCTGTAGAATTCAGTGAACTGCTTTATGAACTTAATAATATTTTGCATATTAATTCTAAGTAAATACAAACTGAATCCCACCGGTGCCACCAATTTTAACAATACCATCATCTGAGCAGGTCCAATACGCGTCAGTCCAGCTCCAGTAGCCAACCTTCCAGGGAGTCCTCTAGTCCTTCCGTTGCTGCCGTTGACTCGTCTGTCCCCAAGAGGTCTGCTATATACTTTCTTTAAAGTGTATTTTGTATTATAATGCCATATATATATATATATATATATATATATATATATATATATATATATATATATATATATATGTGTGTGTGTGTATATATAATGTACAGTATGTGTTGGGGGATTAGGCCTGCATATTTCATATATCAGAATGTGGAAGTTTAACACTATTCCTAAAGTTTTCAAAAGACTGTTGTTTATATTCTTTGTCTTTAGACATTAACTCACAGCAATGTGTCCAGTGTGTAAAAAGCTTTGGTCAAGCTATAAGCCAGATAAAAAACTATTAAACTTTCTACAGGTACAACTAACAACATTGCATGATATTTTTTCTCTCCCCCCCAAAAATACTTTAGTATATTTTTTGTGTTTCCTGTATTAGCTATAATTTCATTTATGTATTAAACCCCCATTGTTCTAGAATAAATCCCGTTCTTGTTGAGGTGACCTTTAGTGCTTTCACCAAAAGTTCAGTTTCACTAAAAACCTCTGTAAACACCCTATTTGCCTAGCCCATGTGTAAAATCAACGAATAACCTTGCTACCTCTCTCTTTCAGTAAATTGATGTTTCCTTAATTGTTTAAGTTCCCTTTCTCTTCTCCTGAATGCTGTATAAATTATGTAAATTGCTTTACTCTGTATGATTTTCGACTTGCTATATAAAATTATAACGCTCAAAATCCCATGTACTCTGTCTCTGCCTCCGCCCATCTGACATCCCCAATCCCTGTTTGTGGTTTCTTCTGAGTACTGGCGTTTGGTTGCAGGAATAGGCGCCCCTCCTTGAAGCCTGTGTCAGTTATCGCTCCCTCAGCACCGATAAGCAAGGATATCTGGAGATACCCCCCAAGGAGGTAAAATTTGACTAATCCCGCCACCCCATGAACGAACACCGGTCTTTATGACGTTCCCTTACGCTACCATAGTTTTCACACACACCCTTTACATCCACTCTACTACCCTAGGCCTCACGACAGTCCCAGAGACTCGCATGGTTAATATTTCACCCCTTTACTAAAGATGTGAGGGTGTATCGTGTTGCTATAATGCATCTGGGTCGATACATTCTCTATTATTTAGGAGGGGGAACTATATATATATATATATTACCTGCGATTCTTTGTGTATGTTGATATAGACGTTGATACAGGTTGTGTTCACGTTGTGTTCGCGCTTTACACACAGACCACAACAGTAGTTCAGATTTACTGGGTCACACGGTGTCTTGTAACACTCGTTGTAACACATTGCAGAGAAGTTCTTGCTCACATACTACCGATAACAACTTAGAACTAGCATGTATTGTGTGTGTGTGTGGGAGGATAGCATGTTTTACTTGGACGTCAGCTATACACTGATATATACAAAAGTGCTCTTAAAAAGCTACATTATCGGAATTTACAGTCACACAATATTCCACCTAAACTACAAAGAACACTGTGACCAAACAGAAATATAATAGAACATGTTAAGATGATCAAGGTCAAACGTTAAGCCAACTACTGATCTATCCCAGGATACAACCCAAACAGTTGGCTAACTCCCAGATGACCGTTTACTCTTAGGTGAATCAGGTATAAGGAAATGTGCTCGAACGACTCGTCATGTCCGGGAATCAAACCCAGCTGTAATCAGATGCGAGACGACTGAGCTTCGCACCAGAAATTTACACCTATACATACTCTTTACTCATGACTTGTTTACTAGGAAAAAAAATAAAATTTACCATTGAATGAACTGACATCAAAGATATTGGGTTACTTCACACACATTCTGCTACTGTAGGCTTACGTTAATAGTTTCTAACATTGCGATAGCAGTGAATGTTAATTTCTTACTGCGATAACAGTGAATTAAAACTTTCTATGAATGCCTGCTATTGAAATCTATACAACTGCTGAAATATTTAAATTAAATAGTTTATGTGGTCCCAGTAAAAGCTTGATTTTTACTGCGATCTATCAGGCAGCTTGTTAATATGAGGTCAATAATAATAACAAAACATGCTCTCTATGTTGAAGAGAAAAACCCAAGTTATAATCATTTTTAATCAATTTGAAGTAATTTTAAAGAAATCTGTATTAACACTTAATAACCTTTTCAGTCAAAAATAACATATTTCAAGTTCTCCGCTGGAGATGAGGCAGCTTAAGAATTGACAAAGAAATTTGTAAAAAACTTAAAATTTACCACTTTATATAAATGTTTAGTTAAAACTCCATCTTAATAGAAGCTTATCATCAAGTACAAACAAGAAACGTCCTTGCTATGTTATGAACACTAGGCACATTTGCTCTGTATTAAAATCATACTCTCACTGAGTTGTAAAAAAAAAATAAAAAAAAATGCTAAAAAAAATTTTGATAAAAATTTTTTTTATAAAAAATAAAATAAAAAAAAACTGAGTTGTAAACATTACACACTTCGTACGCTGCAAACAACACACACATTCGATATGCTGTAAACATCACACACGTGAAACTCTGCGAACGTCACACACCTGAAACTCTACGAACATCACACACGTGAAACTCTACGAACGTCACACACGTGAAACTCTACGAACATCACACACGTGAAACTCTACGAACATCACACACGTGAAACTCTACGAACATCACACACGTGAAACTCTACGAACATCACACACGTGAAACTCTACGAACATCACACACGTGAAACTCTACGAACATCACACACGTGAAACTCTACGAACATCACACACGTGAAACTCTACGAACATCACACACGTGAAACTCTACGAACATCACACACTCGACAAGCTGTGAACATCTGACTCTCGGTACGCCTGCGCAAACACACACATCTTCACTACGCTGATAATATCAGACATTCTCACCAGAACCCCAAAACCTGACAGCAACGAAACCCTGAACACGTGTCAACCGAGGAGGCTAATGTTAACAGGTGATCATTCCTGGCGCCACCGTCCTATGTCATGGCGCCACCGTCCCATGTCAACACTGCAGAAGGTGCATGTCAGTGCGGTGGCGGGTGCATGGCAACACGGCAACTTTGTCAGTATTTGTGCTAACACTTAAGACACTGACGAACGGTGATACACGCATGACGGTATAATAATAATTACACTTTTGAGCCCCTTGATGCGAGACTAAATCATGGATTCTGCATATACGAATCCCTACGAAGGTTCGAACGACGACCACCAATGATTTAGACCCACCAACTGCAAATTCCTACTCATATCTGAAATGTGAAATGTATTAATTTCCATTTACACTATTTGCTCTAAAATAATAGTTTTAACATATTTTTTAAATCAAGCATTAACAGATGATGAAGAGGTGAGTGCATGACAATGTACTTGTTCAAATATGGTTTAGTAAATTATTCAAAGCTTGGAATAAAGGGTTCGATTTATTCAAATTACCAAGTTGGGATTCCCCCCCCCCCTTCCTCCTCACCACGACAGCCAATTTAGACTTTTATTCGACTCGAGACAGACGAATTATGGCTCATGTATTAGCTTAATTGTTTTGAGAGGCAGTTAGTTCGCTGCTTGTAGGAAAAGATCTGCATGATTAGTCATTAATAATGCAAAGTAGAACAGCTGACTGGTACTAGAATTGCTAATATATGTTTGTTCTTCTTGTCAAGAACTACAAGAACGAAGCTTGATAAGTAAGTGTCACTTTTGTGTCAATACGTCTAAACCATATTATAACCAATTACATCTATAATTAATCTCTTGCAATCACAGGCTCCAAGTTGCTGCTTTTATTACCAGAGAGAGTAAAGTGAAATATGCTATTGTAGAGTATATGCTTCTATATGGAAAACTTTAATGCTTTACAAGGACACACGCAATGTCCTTGTTCTGGCTCTGTTTATATTCTTTGTGTTAAAAGCTTCGCCAAATATTAATTTCATTTAAGCTTTTCTTGCCTATTCACCATAATTGTCCTTTTAATCATCAAAATGATTATTTGACAGTTTTCTCATTCCTGAAAACCTATCCTTATTTCATTGTATTTGCTTTATTTCTTTCTTGTAAACCTCAGTTTTAAATGCAACTATATCAAAATACTTTAATAAAAATATATATGATCTTGCTTGCCAAATTGTTAACATAAAACTTAATCCCACTGTCACTTAATTCTTATTGTAAATTTATCATATTACTATATTCTGTTTTTCCTCCAAGTTCTCTCTCTCTCTCTCTCTCTCTCTATCATATTTAAAATACCTTATTGTAAACTCCTACCTTGGTGATGTGAGAAGCGAGCATACAAACCTTAGTCATAAATGAGTCTACAGATATATATATATATATATATATATATATATATATATATATATATATATGGAGGTCACAGCTACAGTCACGAGTACAGCTACAGAGTAACAAGTACAGCTACAGAGTCATGAGTACAGCTACAGAGTAACAAGTACAGCTACAGAGTCACGAGTACAGCTACAGAGTCACAAGTACAGCTACAGAGTCATGAGTACAGCTACAGAGTAACGAGTACAGCTACAGAGTCACAAGTACAGCTACAGAGTCATGAGTACAGCTACAGAGAAACGAGTACAGCTACAGAGTCACGAGTACAGCTACAGAGTCACAAGTACAGCTACAGAGTCACGAGTACAGCTACAGAGTCACAAGTACAGCTACAGAGTCACAAGTACAGCTACAGAGTCACAAGTACAGCTACAGAGTCACGAGTACAGCTACAGAGTCACAAGTACAGCTACAGAGTCACAAGTACAGCTACAGAGTCACAAGTACAGCTACAGAGTCACAAGTACAGCTACAGAGTCATGAGTACAGCTACAGAGTAACAAGTACAGCTACTGAGTCACGAGTACAGCTACAGAGTCACAAGTACAGCTACAGAGTCATGAGTACAGCTACAGAGTAACGAGTACAGCTACAGAGTCACAAGTACAGCTACAGAGTCATGAGTACAGCTACAGAGTCACGAGTACAGCTACAGAGTCACGAGTACAGCTACAGAGTCACAAGTACAGCTACAGAGTCACGAGTACAGCTACAGAGTCACGAGTACAGCTACAGAGTCACGAGTACAGCTACAGAGTCACGAGTACAGCTACAGAGTCACGAGTACAGCTACAGAGTCACAAGTACAGCTACAGAGTCATGAGTACAGCTACAGAGTCACGAGTACAGCTACAGAGTCACGAGTACAGCTACAGAGTCACGAGTACAGCTACAGAGTCACAAGTACAGCTACAGAGTCACGAGTACAGCTACAGAGTCACAAGTACAGCTACAGAGTCACGAGTACAGCTACAGAGTCACAAGTACAGCTACAGAGTCACGAGTACAGCTACAGAGTCACAAGTACAGCTACAGAGTCACGAGTACAGCTACAGAGTCACAAGTACAGCTACAGAGTCACAAGTACAGCTACAGAGAGTACAGCTACAGAGTACGAGTACAGCTACAGAGTCACGAGTACAGCTACAGAGTCACAAGTACAGCTACAGAGTCACGAGTACAGCTACAGAGTCACGAGTACAGCTACAGAGTACGAGTACAGCTACAGAGTCACAAGTACAGCTACAGAGTCACAAGTACAGCTACAGAGTCACAAGTACAGCTACAGAGTCACAAGTACAGCTACAGAGTCACAAGTACAGCTACAGAGTCAGAGTCACTAGAGTCACAAGTACAGCTACAGAGTCACAAGTACAGCTACAGAGTCACGAGTACAGCTACAGAGTCACAAGTACAGCTACAGAGTCACAAGTACAGCTACAGAGTCACGAGTACACCTACAGAGTCACAAGTACAGCTACAGAGTCACAAGTACAGCTACAGAGTCACGAGTACAGCTACAGAGTCACAAGTACAGCTACAGAGTCACGAGTACAGCTACAGAGTCACAAGGAAAGCTACAGAGATGAAACTACTGCATTTTAAATCACATCCAAAGCTTCAGAATCAAAGAAATTCTTTCGGAGCAAAATGTCTTGCTGTAGAAAGACGCGAAGCTGACGACTGACAGGTGGATCATGTTAATGGTTGCCTTAAACATCTACAGAACTACAGGCGAAGTTACAGACTGACAAGAACCTCGTGTGACAATGGTCAGACTAGAACTCCTGGCGGATGTCCTCGCTACCAGGCGCCTTTGCCAGTTCCTCGCTCTAGCTTGTCTTGTGACCCTATAAACAAAGTTTGAAAGCGTTTTGTTAACGTTTTGTTTATGCTGTTAAAACGTTTGTAACGTTTTTAAAAAAAGAGTAAAAACATACACTTGGGTTATGTTGTTTGATAGGATTTAAGCCTATTATTCACGATCACGAGAGCATGAAGAAACGGTGAAAAGGTCTGAATGGTTGGAAGGGAAAGTGTATGTGTATTTGAGTATATGTGTATCACGTGTGCTCCCTTGTGTGGAGCCTGTGTAGGCTACATTGTTTCATTTACAAATAGGAGTGTTAACAGGTGCACCCATTACACCTACTTTATAGATGGAAAGTGTGTGGTCGCTTCTCACAGTACAAACTTCCTAAATAACTTCCCAGTTGATTAATATTATCCAAAAAATCATGTATTAAGTACTATCTATAAGTTTTCTTATTAATGAGATGTAATCATATAATAATGACAATGATGATGATGATGAAAAGGATAATTATAATGATAATCATGATTGGACTAATAAAACATATGTATATTAATATTTATTGAATATATTTCCAGTGATTTTTTTTTACTTAGACATAAACTACAACAGTGTAACTAATAGTTATAATTTCATGTATAAGTCAAACTTTTTTTTTTAGTTCAAAGAAGCTATCCAGGCTATCTTTTCTGCCATGTGAGTTTGAATCACATAGGGTTAAATATCTGTAATTTTTAGATACCTGCCTCTCTATATTTTCATATTTAATAGCTCTTCTACTGCAGAATAATGGGTTCATTTCTTGAATTTATCATTGATAATATATCTGACTCCCTCATGCACATAACTATCCCTCATTCTCTCCATCTTATTCAATGCTCAATTCCCTCTCATTCCCATCCTCACACATCATATCTAACATTAGTTTCCCCCATGTCAATTTCTCTGGCAATTCTAACACTTGTTATTCTCGCCTCTCCTTGACTGTTCTAACAAAGTGTTCTCGTCCCTCTTCTCACAACCAGACCAGCTCCTGTGGGCCCAACTCCTCCTGTCGACACCAAGGCCACCAAATGTGATCCCAAGCTGTGTCGACTTCCAGACTGCTATTGTGGTGGCAGGGAAATTCCTGGTGAGTGTGGGTGTGTGTGTGTGTGTGTGTGTGTGTGTGTGTGTGTGTGTGTGTGTGTGTGTGTGTGTGTGTGTGTGTGTGTGTGTGTGTGTGCATATATGCTTGAGTGTATGTAATTGAATGTGTAACAACACTAATTTTTTTAATTTATTAGTAATTTAATGAGATAATTTGATGTATATAGTAGACTACCTTTGCAGGGACTTCATATGCGAATGATGCATAAATTATTATTCATGTCTACCATCAACTTAATGGATATTGATCACATTTAATTTTCCATAATGCAAAATACTTAGATGAGTTTATTGTTTTATAATTTTTAGAACTAGATCATGTATTATTTACCAAATCTATTTTTGTATTTGCTATAAAGTTTATTTAAGAAAGTAAGTTAAGAATAATTCTGTGTAAATGCTGCAAGAATAAGGACCTAGAAGTTGCATGAACATATCATTTAAGTTTCTCTCTTGATTATTTTATTTTGGACTGACTCGTCCAGAGGTTGATCAAATCTTTAAAAAAAAAATTCACTTGCAGTTGAGTGATTTCATTTTCATTTTTTGGATACGCTAATTATATTCACTTTGCATCCATCAGCATTAAGGCACTTTAATGCCTTCCATTATGTTATTTAATTATTAACTGTTTGTGTTCAAGTTTTAGAAAACCTTGATAATATTATTATATTATATAATATATTATATATATAATTATATATATATATATATATATATATATATATATATATATATATATATATATATATATATATATATATATATATATATATATATATATATCATCATTAGCAAATTGAGTTATTTAGTTTAATTTTAAAATATCATTTAGCTTTACATATACTATAGAGTATATATTTTTTACGAAGGCCCCGTGAGTATATGATACTAGAAATGGGAAGCATGTGCCAAGAAAGTAGTAACCATTGAAGGCAATAGTATCAGTAGAGAAATAGTGATAGTCTGCACGCCCTGTATGTTGACACTTGCACCCTATTATGAGTCTGAAGTAGATAGACGTAGTGTGTCTGTGTGCAGCAGCTGTAGTGTAGTGTGTAGCGTGGTGGTCACACCCCCAGCTCCTCCCTCACTAAACTGATGAACTAAATTGCTTGAACCTGACCTGACCGAGGACCCGCTAATAGAAATCGGGGGGACATCAAGTCAGTTTTGCGTGCCGCTGTGATTTTCAGTGGATCAGTGTTTGGCCGTAGACGATTTATATGTCAAAATGTGATGTAGCGTCGGGGAGGCCGCGCTCTCGAGCGGTCGTGAAGAACACTCTTGTGGTGTGTGTAGGGATTAATGGAACCAGGTGAAGGGTTGTGTTGGCAGGTGGGATTTGTCTAAGAGTCTTGTGGATTCCAAAAAAATTTGTGAAATTCCTAAGATATTACTTCGATTACCATCAATGTTAATACATTATATGTAGCGTTAATGCAAATTTGGAATTTGTGTTGATTATTTGATAGGCAGCAGATTATCATGGATTTTAGTAGATTATCTGAAGTTGTATTTACTTATCTGCAAATGCAATGTATTGGTTGCAAATCAAATTGATTATCTGAGAACTTAATAGATTATTAGCAGACTACCCAAATGTTAAGATATATGAATTTTAGTAAATAGTTGTGCTTGTATATGGTATACGAAGTTAGATACCGTCATGCACTATTTTTAGAACATCAATGTGAAAGCATTACAGCCATGTCGAGGACTCAACTTGCTCGCCTCTGGAGCCCAACGACGCAAGTTCGGTCCGACTCCATTACCTTAATAATTGTCAGATACATCACAGTATTGAGGTTTCAGTGTGCTGATTGGAACAGCAATATGTAAAGATGTTTTTATATTTAGAGGATTTGCAGTGATGGAAAATTACATATAAACATCAACGTTCATATTTTTTTTACATACAGCTATTGATGTGAAGTTTGTGTATAGAGTAATGTGGTCTGTTGTGTGTCTTGGTGAGCTAGAGTGACATTTAGAATTTGTCACTCAAGCTGCACAGCATGTGAAGTGCACTAGACCATTGAGGTTACACATGTGTAGTGATCTAGACCATTGCAGCTACATATGTGTAGTGATCTAGACCACTGCAGCTACACATGTGTAGTGATCTAGACCATTGCAGCTACACATGTGTAGTGATCCAGACCACTGCGGCTACACATGTGTAGTGTTCCAGACCACTGCAGCTACACATGTGTCGGCTTCAGACCACTGCAGCTGCACAACACGTGTAGTGTTCCAGACCACTGGTTCCTCAGCTGTATCCAGCAACACAACATGTATTAGTGCTTCAGATCGCTCGAGTCCCGTCACTAAACTAGCCTTAAGTCTATCAGTTGTTTGACTGTCTGTGTTTGTCTGTGAGTTTAAGCGTTTGTGAACGTTCAATTGTTTACTCGTTTCGTTTCTTCAAGATCTGTCCTATAAACAAAACTGGAAAACATATCTAACACACGAGGACAAAAAAAATCATAATTTTTCAAAAGACATCCAAAATGCAGCAAACAAAATTCAGCTGGTAAACAGTATAAACACTGGTGGCCTGCATGCCTTGTCTGCTTATTACCATGTAGTGACACTGTTTTCATTGCAACAATTCATTGAAGATGATCTACGTCTCACAAGTACCACATAAGTAACTTATAGACAACAACATTCCGAATGTTATTTACTCAAAACGTTCCCAAATTAAAGTTAATACATTAGGATCAATATCATAACACACGATATATTGTCCTTGGGAGCTAATGAAGGGGGGATATGAGCTCCTGTGTATCTGATTAGAAGTCCAGAGTTGGCACTCCCACGGAGCCTGTGACATTCACTCTCCTGCCTGGCACTGTCAGGCCTCCTGACCTTCCCTGCTTAAGAAACAGGGAAGAATGTATAAGAAACATTAAACATTTAATTAATGTTATTCATGTTAATTATTCCAAATTTAATATTATGTATATATATATATATATATATATATATATATATATATATATATATATATATATATATATATATATATATATATATATATATATATATATATATATATATATATATATATGTCGTACCTAATAGCCAGAACGCACTTCTCAGCCTACTATGCAAGGCCCGATTTGCTTAATAAGCCAAATTTTCATGAATTAATTTTTTTTCGACTACCTAACTTACCTAACGTAACCTAACCTAACTTTTTGGGCTACACAACCTAACCTAACCTATAAAGATAGGTTAGGTTAGGTTAGGTAGGGTTGGTTAGGTTCGGTCATATATCTACGTTAATTTTAACTCCAATAAAAAAAAATTGACCTCATACGTAATGAAATGGGTAGCTTTATCATTTCATAAGAAAAAAATAGAGAAAATATATTAATTCAGGAAAACTTGGCTTGTTAAGCAAATCGAGCCTTGCATAGTAGGCTGAGAAGTGCGTTCTGGCTACTAGGTACGACATATATATATATATATATATATATATATATACACAAACATGCTGTTACGGTATCTTAAACAGTATTTAGAGTGCATGCACGCTGACACACGCACACAAACGCCCGCACACACACACACACACACACACACACACACACACACACACATGAGAGCCTTTCACTCACATTGGTCTGTATACTAACGTAGCGCTCGTACACCTCACCCTGCACTCAACTGACACACACTCACCCTCACACTTATCTCAGCTCTTACACTCCATCATCCTAAAAACAGTAGGAAAGACTTGTACTCATTGTTCTATGTTAACTTCAAATGTACTCTTTAAGCTAGGGCGAGGACAACTTCCTCCGCAGCAAACAGTGTACTTCTCATCATACATTTTACACATTTATTTGGCTGTTTTACACAAATTTCAACATACTGTGCATGTCTAACCAGATTTTCTACACAGTTTTATATAGGAAGATAAGTGAAAAACTAATTCAGCATGGTACACGGCATGGCGCGCGCGCGCATACACACACACACACACACACACACACACACACACACACACACACACACACACACACACACACACACACACACACACACACACACACAGCCCCGGCCCCTGTGAACATGGGCTATGTGCCAGTGATGTTAACCAAGTCACCCCTGACCTCTGCAACAGGTGGCTATGACCCCGTGGAGGTTCCTCAGATTGTCCTTCTGACCTTTGACGACGCTATCAACGACCTTAACAATGGTCTCTATCGAGACCTGTTTGAGGTCGGCAGGAAAAATCCGAACGGCTGTCCAATTGTGTCAACAATGTATGTTAGCCATGAGTGGACAGACTACTCCCAGGTCCAGGACCTGTATGCTGAGGGCCATGAGATTGCCTCTCATTCCGTCTCGTAAGTATTACATAAGCCAATGGTACATTGACTCAACTGTGCTGTACACTGCTTGCCAGCTTGCTTCGTGTCTGCATGTTGCTCGTCCCCGTTGACTCACATTGTACATATATATCTCACACAATTATCAGTTTGTGCTATGTTTCCTCTCATTATTGTACATAAAACTGTCGTCTACTATATGTACCCGCATGTTTTTTTTTGTCTTTTTTACATCATTGTACATAAAGTTTTCATCCTCTACGTTTCCTGGCATGTCCCTCCACACTTTTCATTGTATATACCACCACCACCATCTACTGCTTGTTCTGGATGTGTATGTAAGTTTCCCTCTTTTTAGCTCTTCACAACGTTTTCTTTCAGTTTCTGCAACCATCGTTTTTTCTCACCGGTCTACTTGTATGGGTAACTATGATATTCTTTTTCTCTAGGTAATCTACGATTCTTCCTCTCTGTACCTCTATTATTCTTGCCTCCCCCTTCCGTCTCAGCCGGTTTCCAACCAGCCGAGACTCCCCAGATCGTTCTGCTGACCTTTGATGACTCAGTGAACGACCTCAATAAGGAGCTGTACATAGATCTCTTCGAAAAGGGGCGCGTAAATCCCAACGGCTGTCCCATCGTCTCGACCATGTATGTGTCCCACGAATGGACCGATTATTCCCAGGTTCAGAACCTATACGCTGACGGTCACGAGATAGCATCCCACAGCATTCAGTAAGTTGCCAGGGCCGTGGCCACACGGGGCTCCGGACGCCGCCTCAGCAGCGGGGAGGAATCTGCATCACATTGCCTTCCTGCATGTTGCTTGCCTGTATGTTACAGTCTTCCCAGAGCAGGTCACGGGGGAATGACGATGCATTTGTGGCCTCTGTGATGCAAATTACTCTCCAGATGGCACTTTTTTATGCTTTTTTTGTTGTATTTCTAAATGCACTTCTATGCTACTGAATTTATATTACGGTAAAATATAAAAAAAAAAATTTAACCAGTATCTCTGGTGAGATCAAGTTTTCCTGCCTTAAAATCTGCTTTGCTTGTATATAAGCAAATTAAATTATATGTATTATACTGTAAATATTTATCATCACCTAAGGTTCCTTTACTTTCTTACTCTACTTAAGGTGGTCAATGATAGCATGCTTCAATATTTTTGCTTCCTTTGATACAATCACGATGAAGGAACTGGACCATTCTTTGATGGTAGCGTGTTGCTCACAGGACTCGACTTCTAACTGACAGCTCCTGTGAACAAACGCTATTCACAGGAAGGTTCTTGTTCCCTGTCGATGACTCTTCTCCCTTTCGTTATACTAAACTCTTCTAAACCATATTATGCATCACTTTTTTCACCACTTAACGTGTTTAAATATGTATTCATCCCCCCTGCTTTCCCAGTCAGTTTATTTGTCCGTGAATTATTAATGTGAGAAATGTAGGATAATGAATTACGATAACAGTTACTTTTCATAGGAATTAAGTCAAGTTACAGGAGCCTCTCTCCAGCCTCTTTTATAGGAGCCACTCATCACCAAACTTCCCCAAATCCACCTTTGCAACCCATCTTCACCACCCACCATCACCACCCACTCATACCATCTTTCCCCCACTACCAAAGTCACCCAATCCCCATACAACCCTCGTCTCACTTTCCTATCCCCACGCACCCTTCAGACACAGCTTTGGGGAACAGTTCTCTACGAAGAAATGGGCTAAGGAGATAGCAGGACAGAGGGAGATCCTCTCAGCCTACGGAGGCGTCAAGATGGAGGATGTGAGGGGCATGCGAGCACCCTTCCTAGCTGTGAGTTCACCTTCCAGTTCAATTGTTGTTTCCTTTCTAGAATTGAAATTACATTCAGACATTCACGATGATTTAATTTCTTACGCTTCATTCCACGTCACGTGTTGACTTCATGTTATACTATGACATTCTTTGACACGTGTTGACTTTTGTTATACTTTGAATATATACTCTATATGCCAGAATATAACATAAGATATATATATGTCCCTTCACTAAGATATTTTGAGAGAAAACAAATAATATATGTATTCATACATTTATTGCAAGTAATTTTCTAATTTGTTTTGTGTGTGTGTGGGGGAAACATATGCTTATATGCATGCATATATAATATTGCCTTGATGGAGGGGTCAGAAAAGAGGCCTCGTATCCGCCAACAAATCCGGTATTTATTTTTTGCAAAGTGAAAAGCAGGAAAAATGGTAAATGTGTCTCCTGCTCACACCATGAAGCACAACACGGCATAAGGGATACGATCATCTGTAAACAGACTTACAGGATAAAGATGGGAGGAGGGGAGGACACAACGCATTAAGTCATATAGGCAGTTACTTTGCGATGATTTCGGGGCTGAACGTCCCCGCGGCGCGGTCTCTGACCCGGCCTTTCTGGGGGACAGGGCCGTCCATCACACGTACACGACCCGTCCACCACACCTGCACGACCCGTCCACCACACCTGCACGACCCGTCCATCACACCTGCACGACCCGTCCATCACACCTGCACGACCCGTCCATCACACCTACACGACCCGTCCATCACACCTACACGACCCGTCCATCACACCTGCACGACCCGTCCATCACACCTACACGCCCCGTCCAACACACCTACACGCCCCGTCCACCACACCTACACGCCCCGTCCATCACACCTACACGACCCGTCCACCACACCTACACGCCCCGTCCACCACACCTACACGACCCGTCCACCACACCTACACGACCCGTCCACCACACCTACACGCCCCGTCCACCACACCTACACGACCCGTCCATCACACCTACACGCCCCGTCCACCACACCTACACGCCCCGTCCTCCACACCTACACGCCCCGTCCACCACACCTACACGCCCCGTCCACCACACCTACACGCCCCGTCCACCACACCTACACGACCCGTCCACCACACCTACACGCCCCGTCCACCACACCTACACGCCCCGTCCACCACACCTACACGACCCGTCCACCACACCTACACGCCCCGTCCACCACACCTACACGCCCCGTCCACCACACCTACACGCCCCGTCCACCACACCTACACGACCCGTCCACCACACCTACACGACTAACGCCCCGTGTACCACAGGTGGGCGGCAACAAGATGTACAGGATGCTGTGGCAGGAGAACTTCACCTACGACTCCTCGATGCCGGTCTACGAGAACACTCCCCCCAGCTGGCCCTACACCCTGGACTACAGGATCTTCCACGACTGCATGATCCCGCCCTGCCCGACCAACTCCTTCCCTGGTGAGTGTGTTCCTACGTCACCTACCGTGGGAGGGTGGACAGAGAGTTATAGCGTTATGGAGAATGGGGAGATTGGTAAGACTATTTAGAGAGCTGATAGGTCCTTCTCCTCTACCTCAATCATTTCTTTTTCTCCGACTTCTCCTTACGGCACCACTATGTTATAATCCCTCCCTCAAAACTCATTTTACCATTCCTTGTTAATTCCACTATGTTACAACTGGTTTTAAACTCTTCCTTGTATGTCACTACCCCTCTCCCTCGTATCCCTGCCCGCCCCTCTGCCGCAGGTGTAATACCTTGATTTCAGTGTGTCGCCATTTAAGCAGGTCTCGGTACTACAGGTGAGATCATTCTCGATTCACAATCGGGAATCCCAGGTTCTAAACCTTGGATGGGACTAAAATGGTTGGGCATCTTTCCTTTCACCTTATGCCGCTGTTCACCAAGCAGTAGATAAGTACCCGGGAGTTAGTCAGCTGTTACCGGGTTGCATCCTAGGAAGGGTCAGTAGTTCACCCTATTACGGGGAACTTAGATATAAATCTAATGTATATATTTATATACACAGGCTGCCTGTTTCCCGACAAAATGAGTTATTAAATGCCTCTATTACCTTTCTCTTAAATACACACAATTTCCCATTCAATAGTATCTGTGATGCCTGTGTCATAACACGCCTCCTGGGCCCGCAGGACTGTGGCAAGTGCCCATGGTGATGTGGGTCGATCTGAACGGTGGAAGATGCTCCATGGGAGATGCCTGCACCACGCCCCCGGATGCTGAGGGAGTCTACAAGATGCTTATCAAAAACTTCGAGAGACACTACACCAGCAACAGGTATGGAATCAGCACAACGACAGGTATGGGAATAGCACACCAGTAGGTGTGGAAGCAGCAACAGCGAACAAGGGAAGAAACAGCAGCAAACAGGTAAGGCAGTAGCACAGCAACATGTGGTATGGAACACGGACACGAACAACTCATCCTGTTGGTAAGAAAATATTTTCTGTAACACTGTGAACGATCGTGCAAATATTGACGTGATGGACAAACAGCAAGAAAAACTCGACACTATTCATTTAAATACAATCAGAAAAAAACTAAAAAAAAACTTACATATTCCAAGGCCTAGTTTAGCACACATATATATATATACTATATTAGGCCTCAGATAACATGTATTAGAACTAGGATAGTTAAGTTAGTTTAAGTTTCATTACTAAACATAAATACAAAATTTTTTTTTCAGTTTGTCAAAATTCAATAATGCAAAAATTCTAGTTTCTATTGGCCCGTCACATCCTTATTTGTAACATCGTCCATATTGTTACTATAATTTTATTTTTGGATGATGGGCTAGAGAGTCGCACTTACAAGTATGGAAGCAGCAGCAATGTATGTAGAAGCAGTCACAAGCAGTCTGTGCCTCATAGAAGCAGCAAAACGGAAGAAAAAAAATCCCTCAATATATATTTGTCCTTACCATCAAAAACTAAATTCTTTTAGTTAATATAATAACAATTAATATAAATCTCTTACCACGTAACTATAACTCTTCTCACCTCTTCCGTCACCACCCATCGTCTCACTTGTTACCTTCCCTCCCTCATGCCTACCCTCACCACCTCATGAACCTCATGGTTCAGTCATCAGCAACTACTCACACACCTCATGTGTTATGGCGTGGTGTTCCCACCACACACAAGGTACCAGGGATGGCAGATGCAGCACCTTGTGTGTGCTCGCCCGACTCCCCACCCCCGCTGTCATTGCCAGAAACACCGTGCAGCTTGTGCCTTTACATGAATAAAAATCACCAAAATCTATACTAACACAATCCACTGTACCTTCTTGTATATATATACATCTGAAGATTGTAAACACGTCTATTGTTTCCCCTCCGACAGAGCGCCCTTCGGCCTGTTCTACCACGCTGCCTGGTTCACCACGCCGCACCACAAGGAGGGCTTCATCGCCTTCCTCGACACCATTACAGCCATGGATGACGTGTGGCTCACCACCAACTGGCAGCTGATCCAGTGGATGAGGGATCCAACCCCACTCAGCAGGATCAAGAACTTTGCCCCCTTCAGCTGCAACTACTCAGTACGTGGTGGATAGCGAGCTGGTCCTGCCCTCTCCCTATTTCTTTTCCTAGACTTGTGTACCAGGTCTTGGAAAAGGTCACTTCGCAGGTGTATGTTTCCTAGACCAGGGAAGAGTACCCTGGCTATGCAGGGTACACTTCCTTGCCTGATAGTATTCCTCCTGTTTCTTCTGTCCGTCTTCTGCTGCAGTCTATGTAGTTATGGCTGTGTTTTGATGAAGGCCGCTAGTAGCCTGTTTTGGAGTTTTAGCCTGTTCGCTAGTTTTGTTTTGGATGGGTGCGTCTGAGTTCACTTTGGATTATAGAAGCACATTCCTGTAGTTTTTTTTAATTTATATGTTTATTTTTTTTAATTTATCTATTTATTATTATAATTTGATGTTCCTGTTGATGTGGCTAGCTCCTCACCACCACTCATCATAATCCCTCACCATAGCATTCACTCACCACCACCACCACCATCCCTCACCAACAATCACAATCATCCTTACCAGCATATCCACAAATGACCACAATTCTCCACAACGCTCACCAAAAAACACTATACCATTACTCACTACAATCACTCGCCAGAACTCACCCACCACTTACCACCCCTCCAACCCCTCTCCAAAACTCGCAACCCACAACCCACAACCCCCAACGCCTCACCACAACTCGCAACAATCCCTTGCAACAATCATTCACCTTCTCCGTCCCCCCACAGGACCGACCCAAGTGCACCAGCAAGAAAGTCTGCAATGTATGGCACAAAGGAGGCGTGAGATACATGAGAACTTGTCAGGTATGCCCTGAGACGTACCCTTGGACGGGCAACACCGGGGTCGACAGCCCCCTCAACGAGCCCTGAACACCTCTCCCCCGCCCCTCACCCCCCTTCAATTCTCCCCACCTCGCATCCTCCCACATCACCCTCCCCGAAATATAATCTGAAACTCACGTTGCTTTCCCTTACCGCTGCGATCCTGTGATGTCCCTCTCCCACGGTGATGCTGTGATGTCTCCCCTCCCACGGTGATGCTGTGATGTCCCCCTCCCACTGGGATGCTGTGATGATGGCCACGTAGCAAGGATGCGAGACGTGGGGAGATATTTACTGTGATCTCTCAATCACCGTCATGTGGCTTCTCGCGTTGGGAAGGAAAAAATAATTATCGTTAATTTCTATTTATAGTTTTAAACTAAATTGAATTGTGTGTGTTTTTTGCCCGTATTTGTAAAATGCTGCACTTGATATCTTTGACAAAATCAACTTGATTCGAAGTTTATTAAAGAAAATGTTAACTGCTAAGCAAAATGTTAACAAATGTTCAATAAATCGCATACATAAACAAATGTCATAAGTTATGATGGTATTTATGAAATGACAAGTAAATGAAACTAGCGATCACCATATTACCAATCTGTCAGAGTTAACACTGTTGGTGATGTTCAACAGCGGCTCACTTGGTGAGAATTTAGTCTTGTGATAGCGACTAGATCATCTGGGTGTTGAGGAGGGAGTTGATCCGAGGCCGTAAGGGGTATAATCCTCACCTAATGCCAACAATTTTGCCTATTTGGCTTAACTCTGTCTTCCACACCAGTCCTACTGCCTCTCTGAAGAGAGAGATAACGTAAAAACATCACCTTGCAACATTACTGATAATCTAGACGATAACGGGTGTTGGTAACATTGCAGGTATTGCAGAGTAGCAGATGTAGATTAATAACTACGGATTTCAGTTTCAGAACCAATTATGTGCTCTGTAATCTTTCTCACCACCGTCCGTGGGATGGGTATGGGGTGCATAATAAAGGATTAAAGTAAAAAATATCTGATATTGATATATATAATATATATATATATATATATATATATATATATATATATATATATATATATATATATATATATATATATATATATATATATATATATATATATATATATATATATATATATATATATATATATATATATATATATATATATATATAATGAATTACAATAAAAATTGAGGTTGCAGGTTGAATCCAAGTACACCAAAAAAAAAACTACATTTTTAAATACTCATTAACCTGTAATCGATAGCAGAGGAAAGCCAAAAGATAACCAACTCGTTCGTAAAATACCAAGATATTAGGCTCAAGAATGGAAACTTTCCTTGCCTTATACTGATAGTATTGATATGGGTCACCCCAGTCAGAATCAGGGAGCCTTGTACAGTATGAGTGATATACAAATGTTGACCACGCTGGTCCCCCTCATCCCTTATACCCCTGGAGATATTAAATGTGTGACACTATCAGATGATTTTGAGTTTCTTGTTTCTCTTAGGGCCAATTTTCCTATTTGAATTGGATAAGCCAATTGCCTCTTAAGAGCTATGAAATTGTTGCTCAAAATGCCCGATGCTGTTACCAGCTGATTTGTGTAGACTAAGGAAGCAATGTAGATATGTATATAGATATTTCTTTTAAATGTTATAACTATATTTTTAACAAAGAAATATAGTTTATAAAAAAAATACTGTCCTTACTATATCCGTGCAATATAGACAAAAAGCCTTAGTTCCGCTCGAAATTAAGAATTCTTAAAAAATGTAATTTACACTAACCTGTTTGACACTGGGATTTTAGAAAGCCCGTTACTGAATGGCATTCAATATTAGTGTTTAGAATTACGCCTTTTTTTTCCATTTTTATACCAGATTTTGTTTTTATTATTTGTTTACTTTCGCCTTTAGCCTTTCTTTGTCTCTCTCTTGTACATGTCAAGGGCTCTGCTACCGCCCAAAGTGTCAAGAGCATTGATACTACCCACAATTGTTATGGGCACTTCTACTACCCTAGGTGTCAAGGGCACTGCTACCACCTCAAGTGTCACATGCTGGAAAACTGTCATCTGACATATGAGTTTATGTGGTTGTGGACTGTGAAGAATAATATTACCGAGAGAAAAACACACTGATCTCTACTGGAAAATGGTAATTTCAATGAAACGGACCTATAGAGAAAACAATGATTTCTAGTAAGATATAACTGGAACCTCAGATGAAAGCAGACTCTTAATATTATCACTTGCATCATAACTAAACGTTAGACGAGTAAAGAAATTTTCTCAACTTGTGTCATTAGTTCTGGGGTGAATATTTACTTAAATAGATGATTACCAGATAATAAAATATGATAATTTCTGCTGCAATATATTCCATGAAATATAGATGTTTGTAAAAATATAACTCATCCATGATGACAGCTTCATAAATGAACATGAGAACTTTTGTATGGGATCATCCTCGTGTTTGATGAGAGATCCAACTCCTAACATCAGGTGATTCTGCCTTACTTATGAATACTTTGAACCTAAAACAGTCAAGGTAACTGTGTTCCTCTGACCCATTATTCCCTAATAAAAGTATTACATCCAGAAACAAAAAACTGATTCGTGGATAACTTTCTAAAAACTCATTTAACTTTTATATATATATATATATATATATATATATATATATATATATATATATATATATATATATATATATATATATATATATATATATATATATATATATATATATATATATATATATATATATATATATATATATATATATAATCTTTCCATTTTGGATAGAAAGCGTTCTCCGTCTGTGTCCTCTGGCCCTTTTCTCAACCTGTCATATTCCTGATTTCACTTTTTGCGTGTTGGTCTTATTGTCAGCGTACTGGTGTTGCGTTCACTATCTTCAGGGACGTCACCGTACAGCAGAAGGCACACAAGTAACAGAGAATGGGTTACTTTTATTATTTTCCCCCTAAATCACAAATGTAATTGCTATGAAAATAAAACTTTGTTTCTGTATAGTTCGTTTTAATTGTTCCAACAACCGCTCAGCGCCACACCCTCTCACGACGCACTCTAGTGTCTGAGTTCCGATCACCTGGTAGAGCAAATGGCCCCTAAATGACCCTCAGATAAAAGGCTGTGAGCCCTGCAGACCTAACTACAATGTCCAGCTAATTCAATGAAGAATGCTCTCTTTCCGTGGACCAATTAATAATGAACAACCTGGTACCCCTGAGCTAATTTATAACGACTAGAATACTGAAGGAAATGTTTACCTATCACTAGGGTGATAGAGATAATACAAGTGTCTAGCAAAAACAGTCTTCAAACGACTGGTAAAGAATTATGTACTCACAGTCATGACCAAACAATGCATAAAATGCCTGAAATGTTGAACACAGCTCCAGGATCATCCCTCTAAAAACGTCTACGCAATGATTAGTAACACTAACTGACGAGAATTATGATTTAACATCGAGATAACCACAAACTTCTTCCTATCGTGAAGTTAACCTTCACGATAGGAAGGTTAACTTCACGATAGGAACTTACCTATAACCTTCCAAACTTCCTTCCTACACATTTGCAGTATAATGACAAGTGGCAGAGGTCCTGCTTGCGAGAAAGTTTCCATCCTCCGCCGACACACACGGTGAAGGTGTAATCCTTTGGTGTTTTTTTTCAATAGTTGCTTGAGTGTAAGGTGAAACAACTCAATTAGATCAATTAGACTTTATTAGAAAAGTAGTGACCTTCGGCTCGACCGAGGTCACTACTTTTCGTTTCACCAATAAGAATGAAAGTAATATTGATCTTCTTATCGTTCAGCCGCTCAAGTGACCGGCTCAGCTAAACGACTGAAGAATGTGAAGTAAATCAGTTAATATATTCACAAATAAGTTTACGCCACTTATCGGTGTATATCCAGTATACAGGTAGTATATTTTAGCATTTTAGCCCAAAATGTATAGTTCAGGAATAAAGTATACTTGCTGACTGGTCAGTAAGCTCCTGAAGAGGCGCTATATGTCTCCCTGTTTTCTGTGGTTGAAATATTTTTGAAGAGAAAGAATCGCGTGTAGGGAGTAGTGTTGTTGGCGTGTTTGTAGGTGACATGTAAACCAAAATGAGTACTCCCATCCATCGGTCTACACACATTCAGTTTACCTTTTTTCAGTACCAAGAAACCACCACCGTCACATCCCTAAGAACCACCACCTTCACAATAACAAAATTCTTATACATTCCCTTGAAATATATTAACAAAGTGTTAATATCCCAAGTTGGATTTCCCCTCACCATACATATGTAATATACGAGTCATATTTGGAGAGAACGAGAAAATGATGGCATATGACAGAGGCGGATCTTGCGAGGCGTCGAGGAGTCGCAAAGGATGTGATCTGAGGATCTGATGAAGTTCTAAGGGTGAGCTGAGGTCACCGGCATCATTACGGTGGTCAGTGCCCAAACTACCTCTTCTTGCAAGTAGTTCTTATGCAATTGAAACCTTTTCATATCTAGAGCGGAACTCTCCTGCCTCCACAACTTCTCCACCTAGGAAAAGAAACTCTTGTTCGGCGTGAAAAAGCGAAGAGATACCATGCAGCAGTCGTCAGCTTGTCTGATGACGCAGAGAGAAGGAACAAAGAAATCAGGTCATAGGATCACAATACCACCCTCAGCCTCTCTTAAACCCTATCTATCTATACCACATTCTCCCCCTGCTCTAAGCTAACAGATAACAGAGCACACAGAGATCACACTAACGTGATGCATCAAATGAACAAATCAAAGGAACAAATGATTTGTTCAGATAACAAAGCCAACGGGAAACGATAATACTCTTTATCTGGTCTTTACAAATAGTAAAAACTAATCTGGGACTTACAAAACTCAGATATTCTATTCTCAGACCACAAACTCTTCGCAAACTTCTATACATGTATGAGTTTACACAATATAGTCTTATTTAAGAGATAATTAGCAAAACTAATTTCAGCGACAGAGGAATTGACTGGGAAATATAGAATTATCCAACATTCGAAGAAAAACCATTTACAAACCCCGAAAAAATTATCATTCCAGAAAATATAAATGGAGTTCAATTAAGACAAATAACGGAGACGACCTTGCAAGTTACCGCAAGTATTCCAACAAAGAAACGTGAACCTACATAGAAACACGAGATATATAAACTAAAGTTATTTTACCAGACTGGAATTAGCTTTAAAAAATAATAATCAAAGTAAAGAAGTGGATATTGATATTTCTAATCGATTGCGAGGATAGAAAATCTTATTTTTTACCATCCTTATATTAGATTTAGACACAAACACACACATGTCATAGTTCAGTGTCTTCCTTTACAGATCATACACAATTCAGTAAAAAATTACAGAAGATACACTGACAAATTACGTTCTGACGTTAAAATGCCAGCCTAAAAGGCACCCGAAAATAGGACAATTTTTGTATTCATTCCTTATTGTAAAACACAAATTGGGATTGTC